TTTTTTTTTTTTTTGAGTGAAATTAAATTACATAAATCTGAAATTTAGACTAAATTTGAACTAAATATTTTTTCAGTGAAGTATAGATGTGATATTTTGCAGAGGATGTTGAATGTTAGCAATAGCATTAGTATTATAAGCATTGATCTGGTTAGGCCGAATTATGTGGGGTTTTTTACATTTTTAATGATGAAACTCCTTTTCTAAATGGGTTTTATTGGGTCTTTTATCATATTACTGTTAATGCTCATTTATGAAAGCAATAACTCCATGTAATGCAACCCAAAACTGCTTTTGGAGCAGCACTTTGACTGAAACCGTGTGCAGGAAGTGACATGAGATCTGTGTTTGTGCTGCTCTCAGGTCTTCCAGAGCAATACTACAGCCTGACGTGGTTCCTGAGCCCCATCCTGGGTCTGATCTTCACCCCTCTGATCGGCTCGGCCAGTGACCGCTGCACGCTGCGCTGGGGCCGCAGACGGCCCTTCATCCTGGCGCTGTGTGTGGGCGTCCTGCTGGGCGTCGCGCTCTTCCTCAACGGCTCGCTGATAGGTGAGCAGCTCCGAATGAACCTGAACCTGAACTCTTTCAACAGGCAACATGAAATCAAATTTACTTTACTTTCTTAATACATGTTCCTGGTCTTAGTGCACATCTATCTGTCTCCATTTCTCCATTCTCAATATAAACATTTCTGTAAAAAACTGTATTTCCGAAACTTTAAAACTTCGGCGTCAACGTGAAATCAAAATGACTTTTTTACTTTCTTAATACATGATCCTGGCTTTAATGTGAATGATTCATGAGTGCATATTATTTCAAAATTATCCCAATTAATTCATTCATTCATCCTTGTCCATAATTTTGCCATTTCTTTATAATGGCGCTTTTCCACTGCATGGCATGGTACGGCTCGGTACGGTTCACTTTTTGGGGGTTTTCCACTGGGTACAGTACCTGGTACTTTTTTTAGTACCACCTCAGTTGAAGTTCCAAGCGAACCGTACCGTTACCAAAACGTGACGTGTAAACTCTGCTGATCACGGATTGGCCGGAGAGAATCGTCACTACCTGCATCACTGAACTTGCGACACAAACACAAAAGTTTTAATATATTTTTTAATTTATTTTATTTTTATTTATTATTTTATTTTAATTTTTTATATCATTTTATGTTCTGTTTCTTTCTATTTCAAATTTCTTATATTTATATAATTTTTTTTTCTTTTATTCACCTTTTCTGTGAGCACCAAATCTGTTATTTTATTTTGTTTTATCATTTTATTTCTATTTTATTTTTTATTTTGTTTTTTTGTTTTCTAGCATTTATTTTTTTTATTTTACCCATCTTTTGGTCTTCTCTACATTTTCACAATTTCTTTCTAAACGTAAAATGGCCTTTTTCATGAGATACTGTATTCCCTCTCTGAAATTCATTTTCAGGGGCTTTTTTAAGAACCTTTTTATGAGGGCATATTTGTTTTTTAACCATAGAAAATAACATCCTTTTGTCAAGTACTTCAATTGATTAAAATCATTTATACAAATTCTTAATCTGATTAATTTGGTGGGTTATTACCAATAAAATGAATTCAGCATAAGCTCGTGCTGTAATATATATATCTAACGAGGCAAAAAATCAGTTGATACAGATTCAAAACCGAGAAACCTCTTACGGACACATTTTTTCCAGTGCACTTTGAAGTTTTGTGGTGGTGTTGTGGGTGTTTTCTTCTGGACGATTGCCGGGCTTTTAGAGGATTACTTGCCCGATAATGATTTCCACAGCAGCCTTATTTATGATTCGAATCATGTGAGAGGGAGTTATTTGAATAAGGTTTAAAGCCTGTTACTCTCACAAACAATCTGCTTTCTAGTCTGATCCTATTTTCTTATTGAATCTGGTCATAAGATCATAATTTTGAGTGCCAGCTGTGACAGACATCAGACGTCCTGACCTGAAAATGTAACCACAAAACCTACTGCAATCAGGGTCATAGAGGTCAGACACACTGTGAGACATGAAATATGAGTTACTGTAAAGATAAAAAAAATATTTAGCCCTACATTTACGATTTATGTATCTGAATTGAATATAAAATGTCCATCCAATTGGATTAGCATACGTTTTAACATTAATAAACTTGACTAAATTTAATAACTAATTAATAAATAACTACATTTGATGCATATTTGTCAGTCATAAATGAAACAGGTCAGATTTCCGCACTCATCAAAATTATGGCATGGTTTATAAACTATTTGCATTTAATTGATTTTATTTAAATAATACAATTTTCAAAATGCATTTATACAAATCACTCAAAACCAGCATAAATCTGTTCATTTTGAAAATTATTAATTTATTCATTTGAAAAATATAAACATGGTTTATTAGGTTAAAACTGTGTAATGTAACTGTGTTAAAATGGATAGAAATGTTATATGCAATTCAAATAGATACATTTAATTTTAAGGCTAAATATTTTGTTCTAAATATATTTATTACAATTTCTTTATTTGTATTTATGTATTTTTGAGTGAAATTCAAATACATAAATCTTACATGCAGGCCTATTTCTTTTTCTTCATATTTGTTTTTTTGTTTGTTTGTTTGTTTTTTTCCCTAAATACTTTATTTTTTATTTTATTGTGGAAACGCAAACCGTGCCGAGCCGAACCGTGCCGTGCCGTACCACGCAGTGGAAAAGCGCCATAAATTTAAAGGTAACTTTTCTTATTCATTCATTCATTCTTCATACTTTCACTAATTATTTCTAAATGTAAAGGCAACTTTTTTCATTCATTCATTCTTCATACTTTCTCTATTTCTTTCTGAATGTAAGGGTAACTTTTCTCATTCATTAATTCATTCATTCTTCATACTTTCACTAATTATTTCTAAATGTAAAGGCTACTTTTCTCATTCATTCATTCATTCATTCTTCATACTTTCACTAATTATTTCTAAATGTAAAGGCTACTTTTCTCATTCATTCATTCATTCATTCTTCATACTTTCACTAATTATTTCTAAATGTAAAGGCTACTTTTCTCATTCATTCATTCATTCATTCTTCATACTTTCACCATTTCTTTCTGAATGTAAAGGCAACTTTTCTCATTCATTCTTCATACTTTCTCGATTTCTTTCTGAATGTAAGGGTAACTTTTCTCATTCATTCTTCATACTTTCACTATTTCTTTCTAAATGTAAAGGCAACTTTTCTCCATTCATTCATTCATTCATTCATTCTTCATACTTTATAATATATATATAAAATATATATAATTAATAATCTCTTTAATAATTAATCATCTCTTCCAAATTGAAAGAACTTGCTCCATCTCTGAAATAACTTTTCACTTCATTTTTTTAGCTAGAAAATGTTAACTAGTAGTCAACCTTGCGTTAAATAGCTTGCAAACAGCAGTTCATGCTGACTCTAAACGTTTAACCAGAGAAAACGCGTCTTGCATGGGTCATGCTGTCTTTCTGAGGGTGAGATGCTTGCAGAGACAGAGCTGATTTTTGCAGGAACGCTTCTGTTCTTGGCACAGAACATGTGACGCTGTTATCACCGCCACATTTGTATTCGAGGGCAGAAGTGACACAT